TATTTCAATTCCAATCCCTTTATGCTGTTGCACCTATAAGAACTTAAACAGAACATGTTCAAAGATTGAGGTGGGCTGTATAAACTGGATTTTCTTTCCATCATGGAAAAGTACATTTTTGAGTTAAATGTGGACTGGAAGTGGAAGGATTTCATGATCTCAGTAAGACTCATAGGACTGCTTTCTGGAGACCTTGAGGAGGTCTCATGGTCTCATATCCTCCAGAGTAATTTGTAATTTCTGGCTTCTCGGTACTCAGTGTCCTCTTCTGCATGAAAATAATTACTTACAATATTGTTTCCATTTCAAACAGTGAAGGTTTGAGCTTTCTGCCTGTGTGTTTAAATGTGAACAGAGTGTTCCTTATGCCCCCGGACGTAGATGATGCGTGTCCCCACTTCAGAGGGATGCAAGACACAGTCAGTGGACATGAAACAAACAGAGTGGAGCTTGTTTGTGGACTGCCAAAAGTAATTAATCCCTTTTCTCAATGAAAATTAATCGGATTAAACCTTCTCCTGGCCCACTGAATCTGTCCCTGTGTAATGTGCGGACACTGCATCTCTTGCTGCTTCTCCATACTGCGCCTGCTCCCAAAGTGCCTTGGTCATAAGCTGGATTCACTGGGTTCTCTGCAACAATGGGCAGCACTGGGACTCTAGAGTGTAATCATATTCTCCTGCTTGTCTGAATGCTTGTCTTTCACGGATGGGGAAAGAGCTTTGGCCACTTGACCAGTGCTGTACTCTGACCTTTGCTGGGCATGCTGAAGAGCCTGGAGAGGAGGGGAGAGAGAGATTTGTTGATTAGAGTTTCATCTGTTTGTCTCTGGCCGCAGGTCAAACACATGTTCTCATGATGTTCTGACCTTTTCAGCAGCGTTCAGATTAGCATTCTATGCCCTGTGCCCCTCTTTTCCTGTAAGTGGGTTATGGGCTAACATCCTGAAGAGGCTGACTGTGAAACATCCACTTGTTTCTTAAGCCCCTGGATGTCTGATGGCTCCAAATGTTCCAGTCCACGACCAATCTACACCCATGTTTAATTGTGACCTTGCAGGAATGTAAATGTTTTAAAGTTGCCTCTGACTAATGTGTTCATTCAGGCATGTTCTGACCTACTTCCAACATTTCACATTTCCTGCAGTCCTTAATTTCCATCACACTACAGCACATTATGTTTTCTCAACTCTTTTATTAAGTAAAGCAAAGAACTTAGAAAACATACTAATGGCTTTCTGTTGACACACAGCTGGATGTGCAGTATTGGCATATACAGGATGGCTGCATGACTCTGTGCATAAGCTTTATACTGCATTCTGCTTATACAGCAATGCCAGTATCAGCAGTCATTGCTGCATAAGCAATCTTTAGTACTCTCATCTATCCATGTGTTCTCTGTGGAATGTAGCTTAAATTTATTTGTATGAGGTGCTTATATGCAAATATTTTTGTAGAACACATCTAAAATATTCAAAAGAAAATGCAGCTTGGGAAACTGAAACACTTTGATGCTGCTTCATTCGCACCAAAGTCCGTAATTCCGTAATGCCGCAATGATTTGCGGCATTGCAATAATTTGCAATGCCGCAAATCTGAGTGCCATACAATGCCATGAATCCTTGGTGCTGATTGGTTGTAAGACCATAGATGATAGCTTCTGCAGCAGAGCCAAGGTAGTTTCCATTGTGTGTATCAATGCATGTTAAGGTATATTTGGTGTTGAAGCTATTAAAATAGGCCATTCTAGTTTTCCTAGATTTCTGTTGTTCCAGGTTGGTTGTGGGCTAAAACCCCTGCAAATACCAGGGGTCCACAGTATAAGAGATATAAGATTCTGGGAGGAATTTTACTGAAGTAGAATAAATATTGCACCAAAATTATATGAAAAGGTGCAAAATGGTTTTTTAGTGACTCTTCTCTGTGCGCACCGCATCATTCCGAACATTAAAATATATCTCAACAGAACTAAACATTTTTTAAATATATGTCCCTAACCACATGCATCCAGTTATCCAGTCTTGACTATTCAGTCAAGGACAGTCAGGTTAATGTGCTTCATGTTAGTTCTGCTCAGTCCAGTGAACATCTACTACAGATTTAGTAGCTCTAACCAGTAGAAAAGATGTAGAAAACACAAAGAAATAGACCCGAATTACTTTCTATGACAAAGGAAAAATAAGTAGAGAAGAAAAAGTTAATGATGCCAATAAAGAGAGAAATTGTAAAGGATAAAATGAGTTAAAGATCAGAGTGAGAAAAACTGACCAGCATATTCTTTAGGAGTATAAGTCTGTAGCAGCATATCTACAGAGCAGAACTATACAGTATGACTATATTTTGTCTTTTTATATGTTTCCTTGAGAATTGTAGACTGGTTCACTATTGGAGATAATTAGTTTTTTCTTTAACTTGCACTGGTGCAACAAATGTATACATATAAATTGTATACTGCCATAATGAAAACTATATCTTACATAGACTATTTGCAAATGATAATTTATTTTTAAAAATCTCAAAATTCAGTTTTTCTAAATCAAATCGTTAATACCAGAGTGAGAGTCTTCTTCTTCTTTAGCATTTCTAAACCCATACAACATATATTTTCCATAGAGAAATGCTATGTTGTGACCATATTATAGCTGCCACAGTCATGGGGAGGATGCTGACAGGATGTTGTTCAGTAGTCACGGCAACCATCCACAAGGAGGGTACGCCTCAAAATATTTTATATCAGAAATCTTTATCTTTGTTTTGAGGTAATTATTTAATTTTAGAGAAATTGAGGTGGGGTTTTATCAGCTGTTACCCAGAATCATGAAAATGAATATAAACAAAAGTTTGACTAACATGTCTGTGTAAAATGAATCTATGAGCTTCACTTTCTTTGGTTTTGTTGGCTCTAGTGGCCTTTATTTGAAAGTAGTTTGACAGGAAAGAGGGTTATGAGAGAGGGGGAAGACATGCAGCAAATGTCGCCGGGCCGGGAATCAAACCTGTGACCACCAGCATGAGGACCAAGGCCTTGATACATGTGTTGTGCTTTGCCCCTGCGCCACCACAGCACCCGAGCTTCACTTTTTAAAGTAAAATTACTGAGGAAAAATCACTTTTTGATGACGTTACTAAGATGCAAGTGTAAAATATTTATCTTGATTAAATCTAAGCTGAAAATAAATCATTTGTAACTGTTTGTAATAATTCTACTACAGTCAGGGAAGGTGGTGGATGATGATTCAGGACATCAAAGAGGCTGAACATTCTGAAAGAATTTAACTGCATTGCAGCACCCTAATAAGCTACATAATTATAAAAAAAAGACAAATGTTGTTGATGTAGGTCACACACTAGGGACCAAATAAGAACCCACTTATGTGGTATTAGTAAAAAAAAAAAATAGAGGGAACAGAGCGCGTCTAAAAGCTAAACTAACTAAAAACATCCAGTAAAAATTATTTTTCATTCAGAAGTTTTCCCCAGGCGGGAAAACTAATCCCAATAAATCAAACCCTTAATACCAGAGTGATAGCCTTCTTCTGCATCAGTTCTAAGAGGGAGCCTCATCAAGATGTTTTATTCCAAAATTAATGTTTAAAAAGCTGCAGAAATTCAAAGACGTATTGCTGTTTTTGTGTATGAATGAAACTACTGTAATCATAGAAACAAACCTGATAGAACTCTTAACAGTAAGAGAATCAGAGTTCTGCTGCCATCCATACAGAGGGGATCTGAGCTGATGAAGATGTTTTCAGCCTGACAACTGCTTTTATTAACTGTGATATCTGTGGAAGCGCCAAACTGAGACCTCGGCACAGCCCAAGGTTTGTCCATATGAACTACATATTTATTTATTCATGGGCAGGCAGAATGAACATGAATCAAGCTGAGTTTGAAAGGAAATCCTAAGCTTTTCTGATTCTGAGACAGAAACTGATTCTGAGTTATTTTAGAATCTGTTTCAGAATTATAAAGCTTTTGTTTTGCAAGGTGCTTGCAGACACTGGGGATTTTTATCAGCCTCTGTGTCTCAATGCATTTACACTCACACAGCAACCATCAACACAGAGCAGAGAGGGCGTCTGAGGGGGTTTTCTAAGCGTGGGAATAAATGTACAGATTCAGACTGTTCACACCGGATCAGCATATAATAAAAGGTAGAACAGCTACATTTTAATTCTTATTTCTTATGAGTGCAGAACTTGATGAGGCTGCTTAAACCCTCTACTCAGGGGCCTCTACTTAGAGTTTGGGTGCTCTTGTGCCAGTGTGGGAACTAGAGGATCTTTAGGATTATCTTTAGGACAGTTTTGGAGTCTCAACCCCAAATACTCCAGTGACCAGTGGAACTGTTGAGGCCAGGACTTTTCTATTTCCTCTCTGAGCCCAGGGCATCTGCTAAGCTTCATGTCCTGTCTTTCCTATCATGCATGAAAGCAATACTTACAGGCATTACTCCAGTGGAGATTCCTTTGACAGATGGAAAAACACAAATAAACAAAGGTCCTGATCATCATAAAAGTCTGCACAAGTTTGTACTTTACTTTTTCCTTAAAAAATGAGGAAACACCTTTTTAACATCTTTTCTTTTTCATCTTGTAAAAGCAGTGTTCTGTTGAACATCAGTAGTGTGTTATATTTACGAAACATAAAAACAGTAGACCTATGGCTACTTTTTGTTCTAGTTTTTTTCATTCACACTGTAATTATGTGCTTTTTGGGTTAATAAATATGCTTAAAATGAAAAAAATGGAATTGAGAAAAATTAAACTGGAAAAAGTGGAATTTGGGAAGAAAATCAAACAATTTGGAAAATAATAAAACAGATTTATTATGGTGCTACATAATTCTATATTGTATAAGCGATGCATAAAGGAACTGACAATATTTGTAGAATAATAAAGACTGCTTTGGAAATGAGCAGAAATCAACTCAAAGAGGAAATAAACTGGTGCCTCCTAATTAATTCTTGCCAACTGTCTTTTCCTTTCCAATTGCATGCAGCTGACACACCACCAAACATCAGAATGTCATATGGGTCCATCGATGGAGGTTCCTTTGGCAGCCGTAACCCGTTTGGGGGCCCCACCAGGCAGGGCTATCAGCCAGTAGGTAAGGTCAAGTTCTGCTTCATCGAATGACTGTGCTTCTTCATGCTGCACATGAAAAGTTCCTTCACACTGCATTTTACAGCTTCAGGACTCAACAAATCACAGTGAAAGAAGAAATTAATTTAACTCAATTGAATTGCTTCAATTGGTAAGAAGTTTATCCAACTTAATTCATTAAACTGGTTTAACTTGACAAATTTAAGTCAGTCCTACTCAAATCATGTAGCTTACTTCAAATAAAAAGTAAACTAAAAAAGGATATTTTGGCTCAGGCTGCCCTTATATTTGAGAATAGTTAGACAGGAAAGTGGGTAATGAAGGAGGGGGGAGACATGTGGCAAAGGTCATCAGGTCAGGAGGTCTGCATCGAGGACTAAGGTCTCCTTACGTGAGTTGTGAGTTGTGAGTTGTGCTCTGTGCCTCCACAGCATGCTGGTTGATACAGGATGTGTTCCTGGTGAAGCTCGTGTCATGATGTCAGATGTAGGATACAAACGCGGCTTTACATTTAATTGTTTCAAGTAAAGTCAAAGTAAAAAGTTCCTTGAAGTTAAAAATTTTTAACTTTTAAGTCAATTCAATACAAAAAAGTAAGTTGTCATCATTAAGCCAAAATAATTAAGTGAGATGTATGCAAATAAGCCCATATCATGAACTATATAGCCCAAATACACTTTTAGAGTGCAGTTACATTATGGTTTAGCTTAATGTGTGAAACAAGTGGCTATTGGTGACCTGTTACAAGCATGAAGATTGTTATGACCAAAACAAGAAAAACACCATTTTCATTATACTGGAAAAAAAAGTTGTTGATTAAAAACAGGCATAAGTATGTCAAGCAAACATATTCACACCCCCTAACATTTTCTACCTCCTGTGATGTTTCAAGCACAAACTTCATGCCATTAACCGATACAGAACTGTGTTGTGAAATAAAAGTATCAGACAAAAGCAACCTGAAAACTGCATTTTTCCCCTTTATTATAATTCCTCTTAATAAAATCCTTCAGATGTCATCTATTTAGCATACAGAGTTCAGTTGTGTGTCATTTAGTTCCTAACTGCAGCTTTTCTGTTTCTGGTCAGTTGGTTAGAGACCAACCAGCATCATGAAGATCCAGCAGGCAGGTCAGGGAGAACAATGTGAAGAAGTCTAAAGCAGGGTTAGGTTGATAAGGAAATTAACATCTTCTCAATGAACACTGTTCAATCCACCATTTGAAAACAGGCAGAACACAACTGGAAGCCTATCGAGAATATGTGTCCAACTAAACTAATTGAAAGTAATCAGTTAAAGGACAGTATTATATGATTTCCAGGCACCACAATACCAAAATCAAGTAATTTTACCTTCAGTTGTTTTGAAAAGCTATATGTATCAAATATGACTTGAAAGAAACTTGACTTTGTAATTTAACACATTGAAATTAGACTTTTGTCTAAACTCCTGCTCTTTCTTAAACTCTGCCTTCAAGAAATCGTCAAAACATCACTCCTCTATTAACCCTTTAGCAATTATTTTTCCAGTGTTTCACTGATGAGTAAGTCACATATCAAACTCAGCAGATGCACAGGTCCACCAGGTGTTTGCTAATTGCTGCTGGCTAGTTTGAAGGAGCTCAGTCAGAGAGTTGAAGAGGAGGGCTGCTCTGAGAGGAGGAGGGTTGGAAACCGGAGGCTTGGAAACTGCATCTCTGATAAGTAGCACCACATTTAGAAAGCGGTGCTAGGTCCAACCAAGTGTTTGGCATAGCTGACTGGTTTCCCAAACATGCATGACAGAATCAAGGCAACATCTCAGGTATGAGTTTGATGAGGGAATAAGAATATAATAGGATCTAAAGCTCAAAAACGTAATACGACCCATTTAAAAAATATGTGATTACTGATATTAATCTACTGATAATCCCATTTTCACATCATCATTTTACCAACCAGTGAGGTAACTATTACCTACCTCAGTGGTAGGTAATAGCTTTCCTACCGGTGAGGAGGTAGGAAAGCTTTTACAGTGTAAGGTAAAGTAAAATCTTCTAATATCAACTTTTTATTTCACTTTCAGAAATTGTGAACTTTTCTAACAAATGTAAAATAGGAGAATACATTCTAAACTTGTTTTTTCAGCAGATGTTACTGTCATCACTGTGGTTTTATCAGAATCCACCTGACGTCACCGTAGTTCCAGCCTTCAGAGGCAAACAGTCATACTCATGGATTGTTAGTCAACACATTTATCATTCATGAAAAAATGAATAATTCAAGCAATCTGAACCACATGAGATGAAAAGCAAACAAATACATTATCACATAAACCGGAAGTAGAAATAAAAAGAAAATAAATGTGATTTTCTTCTTCATTCACTGAGTGTAAGATTATAGAGGATATGTTCAAAAATGTTTTACAAGTCTTAACATGAAAACAAGTTTCCTGAACATATTCTGAAGTCATGTGGGACAGGTAGTAAAAGAGACATGGACAGGAGAGCTGTAGTGTTTTATTTAACATATTCACAGCATGACATACTAAAGAGGTGAGTCAGGAGAAACAATTTTTGTGTTTAGCTGAATCACAGTTTCAGAACACTTCCGAGAAAGGCAGAGTTCATTTTTCAGACAGTCAGCTTTGAGCTTCCATTAGATGCTGAATGGCTGAGAGGATTTCATCTGTTCTACAATAAAATTCATATTTGAAGCAGTAGATGGGAGTGTGTGCTTGTGTGTGTGAGCTGATGCTCTCATGCAGAGGTCACAGGTTTTCTGAAGGGTTAAGCGGTGTGAAAAGCAGCTTCATTGGATTTGATCCTCTTGGTGCTTTCATTAGCCTTGTAATGGGGTAGGAGTGAGACAAAAGCCTGGAGGCAAAACATGTTCAGCCAAGCTAGAGGTGTATGTGTGTAAAACAGATTTTCTCTGACCGACTGAGAGAAACTCAATGCATGCAAGGCTGGAAACATAACTCTTCCAGCTGTGGGATGAACGGCTCTAGATTTTAGCTTCTTGCTGGGCAGACTGCCTGACTATGAGAGGCCCCATAGGCCAAAACCTACA